CGAGCAAAACCCAGAGAGGCTGAGATCCATCGGTTCCCGATACACAGCTGAATTCAACACACACACACACACACACACACCCTTTTTCACAGCTTTGAGTGGTAACTGATAAGGAACTTGGCTCTTGGGGGCAAATATAAGGACAACCAGACAACAACTTGTCCTGACCAGGGTTGCCAGGTCACCAACGACTGTGACTCAGCACAGCCCATGAAACGGAGCCCCTTTCAGACCACCGCAGAAGGGACCTCCCACCCCCAACCGACAGCTAGTCTCTGCCCCAAGCCTCCGCCATCAGGAGCTCTAGGAGCTCTAACGGCTGACACAGGACATGTGCCACCTGGGTGTGTGGGCCAACCCCCCCCCCCCCAGAAATGTGCCCTGCTTCCCCTCCACCCCCGCCTTCAGCGTGCAGACCAAGAAGGACGTTTAAGGACACGGCCTGGCATCCAGCGAACGCCGCACGGTCCAAAGGCTCCCGAGAGGGTGCGTCAGGCTGGGCACCCCAAGCCCCAGCTCCCCCGCACCACCCCCCAGGACGGCTCTGGTCCCCAAAGGCAACCTGAAAATCAACGGGTTCCCAAAGGAGCCGCCCGTGGGACCAGGCCAGGCCCAAATTACTGTCCTCTTTGGAGCTCCTGGCTAAGGCTCTCTCGCATTCTTGGCAGGAAGGGGCGGGGAGGGCTAAGAAACGGTGAAAAGGAGGGCCAGGGGCTTCATTCCTTCCCCGGTTCACAAACATTCCTGAGGCCGAAGGGGGCCTGCTGACACCCAGCTGGCCCACTTAAGGTTTCCTAACGAATCCCCAAGGGCCCTTCTGGAGTTCTAGCCCCTCCAGTGACACGTTAGAAAGCAGGCCCTAGCTACCCCCACGGAACTTTTACACTTGCTAAGCTGATGGGGAAAGAAGGTGCCACGCAGACAGCAGGACCACGTACAACATCGCACCTACCTACACAGGTCCTGAGAGGTCCCGCATCAAAGCACAGTCTCGGAAACACTAACAAGTCAAAGTCTTTGGAGTTTCTTAAGGCACGGACATTATTTCTGCTCCTCTCCGACAGCAGTATGAAAAACTGGGGCTCTGTGTCTCTTCCAGCCCTGGTAATACATCAAGCTACAAGTCAGTGTCAACGTAACGAATGGTTACAAATCTGGTTGCCACCTTGCTGGGGGACTTCAAGTGTGCACTTTGAATTCCAGGAATGCCACTCCCGGGAAGTCAGTATCCCTTTAACTTCAAACCCGACCCAGAGAAAAGGCAGTCCTCACCGAGCAGCCCCGCTGAATGCCCATGAAACACAGCACTCCGGAGTTCCTGCTTCCATTTCCTTTTTCCAGATACAAAAATGCAGGTGAAGCAAGTATTTGTTTGAGTTTTACTATGTAAATAAAGCCTATTACCAGGGCCAGCGAGCGCTTAGGAAGAAAACAGCCTTCCCCGCCAAAGCTGACTATGCCAGGGGCCTCTGAGTATCTTCAGAAAGAAGAATTAAGCACACGCACTCAAAGCTAAAATCCTTTCAAAGCAAAAGTGATGTACAGTTACTCTAGCGAGGGTGATCTGTGCCCGGGAGACATCTGGCAACGTGTGCACTTTTCTGGTTGTCACACTTGGGGGGTGGTGCCAGTGGGCAAAGGCCAGGGCTGCTGCTGGACACCCTACAATGCATAGGACAGTGCCCCCGCCCCCAGCAAAGAAACATCCAGGCCAGAACATCGGTAGTGCCAAGGTTGAAAAACCCTCATAGGATGTGACAAAGTTACTGAATATGGCATTGCAAGGGATTCCAGACAAGAGCAGATGGCACCAAGTGAAGAGAAAGCAGAGACATGCAGGGTCAAGATCTGGTCCTGAGGACCCTTCTCAAGATTTGCCAGGTTTCCGACCTCAGGGCACACCACTGAACCCTCCTTGGCCTTAGCTGTTTCATCTACAAAATGGGCTAATGAAACTCCATCAAGGGGCTTCCCTGGTGGCGCAGTGGTTAAGAATCCGCCTGCCAACGCAGGGGACACGGGTTCGAGCCTTCATCCGGGAAGATCCCACACGCTGCAGAGCAACTAAGCCTGTGCGCCGCAACTACTGAGCCTGCGCTCTAGAGTCCGCGAGCCACAACTACTGAGCCCACGAGCCACGACTACTGAAGCCCACGCGCCTAGAGCCCATGCTCCGCAACAAGAGAAGCCACTGCAATGAGAAGCCCGCGCACCGCAATGAAGAGTAGCCCCCCCCCTCGCCGCAACTAGAGAAAGCCCGTGGGCAGCAACGAACACCCAACACAGCCAAAAATAAATGAATGAATAAATAGGTAAAATAAAAAACTCCATCAGGAGATCAGGGATTGAACCAGCCTTGTTCTTGGCATCAGTTCCAGTTCTAAGATGTACACTCCTATGAGGCTTTCAACTGAGACACTCATCGTCATAAACAGAGTGCATCCTCTTACACTGGACCAAGCTTCCTCCAAGTCAGATTCTGTTAGAAATGAGCTGTACAATATCCCAGGGCTCTAATATGTAACAATTTAATTACAAGGTTTTTTAAATGCAAAAAAAAAAAAGCCATTAGAAAGTCTATTATTTAATGAGCCCTAAACATTTTTTAGTAGGTACTGGGAAAGGAAGATTCAAAGCTTGGATTAATCTAAATTCTGGAGGTGGAACAAATTTCCCCAGTCTCCATCACAACAGTCTATTTCCATTTTTTAAGTGATTATAATGGACACGCTTTCCTTTATCCTTCTCTAATAATGTGACAATTACCAGCTGTTGGATTGTAAACATGCATCAGTGATGACTTAATGCAGGAGAAAAGACAAATAGGTGAAATACTGCAAATACCATGCAATACAATGTGTGGTTAAGGAATATATACATGTATGTGTGAGCACACGTGTGTGGCATGTGTGAGCACACGTGCGCGCGCGTGTGAGGACACGTGTGTGCATGTGCACACAAGTGTGCATGGAAATTTGTCACAGATGTCCCAAACTGTCCTGGATCCCCTCCATCCTAAGCAAAGAAACCACATATCTCCAGTCACACTAAAGCACCTATAAAAACCAAGCAGCAGTTCAAGGGAGGGACATATGAGCATCTCAGATAAGACTCATAAACAGTTTTATTTCTGCAAAATCCTGAAGCACGATCTGGAAAGGCAGGGCGTGTACAGCGCTACCAGCCTAGCCCTACCTACCCACACACCTTAGCAACTACCGTGACAGCCAACCCAGGGGCCCAATCAGGAGCAGACTGCCTGCCGCCTGTGCCCTGATTAGGCCCTGGTGTGTGTCCATGGGTTTTACTGCCCACCTCCTTCAGTTTCTAGAACAGGGTCCTCTTGCACAAGCAGAGGAGAAACCACTAAGAATGCGTGGGGTTTTTTAGAACTTGAGGTACAGAGAAAGGAGGAGGTCCCCTTCTCCGGCTTCCGGTCAAACAACTGAATTTTAGAGTTTAAGTCCAGCTTTCTTACACTGCATAAGCCCAAAAAGCAAGATGTCATCTTAAATAATGTTTTACGACTTACTCCATCTGCTGTAAAGACAGGTCCGAGGAAGACAGGTTGAATCGCGCGCGCGCGTGCGCGCGTATTCTTTTTTAAAAGAATCTCTAGAAACGATAAAAGTCTGAGTAATTTACCTGATATCTTTTTAACTTTTACCATCAGAAATGCCCGGTAAAACTTTTATTATTGAAAAGGCACGGGCTACTGTGCCTTAATACACGCATATGCAGGAAATGCCTGTCCTGCACGAGGTGTGCACTCTACGGCTACTCTACCACACACATTTTTCCAAAGAATCCAATTCATTAATGGGTTTGCACATGGGTGAAACTTATAACAACAATGACAGCCTCTTTCCCCGGTTCCACATAAATTCAGTGCACGTCTCCCCTCAAAGTCTCTAGTTTTATAAACATAAAAATGAGAGAAAATAAAGATCAGAAGTTGAGTGTCTCATTTGCTATCTAGACAACAAAGCCACACCGCCTCCCAAATTCAATCCGGTGGGGTGGGTTAGGAGTCACTTTAGTTCTTCCTGCTGTGGTGAAGCAAGAAAGCAGAGAAAACCAGTAAGTCACCTTCAAACGCTTCTAGAAGCCAAGAATTTTTGCATTTTAAAGGGAACTTTGTCCCCGGGAATGGCGCGGCCCAGACCTTCCCAGAGAAACTGACCAACAGACACTTTTAACCAGAAGAAAACAGGACGACTGGTTTGCTGTCTGTGTGCTTTTTACAGGTTTATACGGGTTCGGCTGGTAAGTTTCAAGATGGTTTTCTGTTTCGAGACAAGAGAATTCAAAGTTACCCCTACACACACACACACACACACACACACACACACATTAGGAACTTATTGGGGGCTCAAATCCCACTTTCACAAAGGACGATGAAAAGTTTCAATTTGTTTTTGCAGGTATCCAGAGCGCCGTGGGTCTAGGGCTGGAAGCGAAAGCCAGTAAATATTGATGGGCTTTTGCGAATCGAGAAGCTCGGCTGGCGGCAGCTGCTAGTGTGGGCTTCCTAGCGATAACGGGTGCAGGTCCAAGGGGTGCAGAAACAAATACCTAGACAGGCAAACACAGGTGGGGACGTCTCTGTCCACCCCCGGCACGTGGGAATGTCCCTCCCCGACCTCTGGGTAGGCCCACAGGTGCAGGCCGGCGCAGGCGAAGCCGGGAGTGACAGGGGACCCTGCCAGGCCCTTCCCAGGAGGGGGAGGGGAGGGGACCCGGAACAGGAGCCATTGAAACTGCGCGGCGCTGGGAGCCAGCAGGACCGGGAAACAACGCAGAGGGACCAAGGTGGCGCCCGGACCACACACCTATGCGAGTCCTACTACCCACGTCCTCGCAGGTGACCCGAGCGGACGCGCGTCCCGGGCCCGGGGGCGCGAACCGGACACCCCCTCCAGCGCTCCTACCCCCCGACGAGTCCCTCGGCCCCAGGCCACCTCCCGGCTGTCACCGTGCGTGTCCCGCGCCCTCCGTACCTTCGTGATAACCAGCGGCTCGCCGTGCTCGCGGCCGCCCTTCAGGGTGAAGCCCCAAGGGGCGCCGCCGCTCAGCTGCACCTCCACCAGGCGCCCGCCATCGGCCGCCCGCGCCTCGGCCTCTGCCAGGCGCTCTGGCCGCACACGGGGCTCTGCGCCCTCCATGGCGCGGGGCTCGGAGGCGGCCCGGCCGCTCAGGCCCCCAGGGCCGCCCGACCTGCGCCCATGCACTCGGGGGAGCCCCGGCCGGCCGAGGGCGAGGGAGGCTCCCGGCGCCCCGCCGCCGCCGGCCACTGGCAAACTTGCGCTGTAACTTGGGAGGAAAGTACCGGCCCCGGACAGAGAGGGAGCCGGGAGAACGCGCAGCTCGGCGCGGCGCGGCGCGGCGCGGCGCGGCGCGCGGGGGAGGGCGGGCCCCGGAGGGGGCGGGCCCGCGGGGAGGGGGCGGGGAGCGGCGGGGTCCGGCGCGCGCTCGGGGGCTTGCGCCGCTCTGGGGGCAGGGGGCAGGGGGCAGGGGGCGGGGCGAGCGCTCGGGTTCCCGCGAGTTGCCCGGAGGGTGGGAGGCGGAGTGGGAGGAGAGGCGCGCCGTCCGGGACCCCCGCGGCCGCCGGCGGTGGGAGGGGCGGGGAGAGGCGCGGGGGTCGGGGGCGCGCGCCCGGGGATCCCCAAGTCGCCCCGAGGCTTGGAGCGCGCTCAGGGCCTCGCGCTGCCAGCCGAGCGCAGTGTACTGGGCGCCGGGGCCGGAGCTCACGCTTGGGGCGCGCGGAGGCCTGGGGGGCGGAGTGGGGGGCGCGCGCTCGGGGTGAGGGGCGCGACCCGCGGGGCCAGAGGGCGGGCGGGGGCGGGGGCTCGAGGTCCGGGGGCCCCTCCTTCGTCTCGGGCGCCGGGCCCTCTTCGGAGGCTCGGGGCACGTCCGCTCGCTGTTCGGGTGGCCTAGGCGCGGCAGGTGAGGCGGCGGAAGCGCCCGCGCGGGGCGGGCCGGGGCGAGGCGGGCCCAGCGGCGGCCGGAGCCCCCGGCGCCCTCCATCTTGGAGCGCGCGGCCGGCTGGCGCCCCCGCCTTTGTTCTCGCGGACCGCGGGCGGTGGGCGGCCGCGCAGGTGAGGCCGGGAGCGCCGCGGGGGTCCCCGCCGCCGTCCCGCGCCCACCGGCGTGCCGCCCGCCTGTCCCCGCGCCGGCCCACTGTGCCCCCAGCGCAGGGCAGCGGGATGGCGGGTCCCTGGCGCCCTCTGCGCGCGCCCGCATTGTCCGGCGCTGCAGCCCAGATACCGAGTGGCCGGTGTTGGCTCTTTCTATAGTTACAGCTGAGGAAGTCATTGCGTTCAAACCCCGCTCTCCCTTTGGTACAATTGTGCCCGGAGGACTTGACGTATTAGGTATATTACTGTTCTGTAGCTGGACGCTAGGAAACAGCTGGTTCCTCGAAGACGCTTCATCCAGGTGATGATGCAGGAAGTAGGTGGCAAGGACAAGACAGGAGAGCGCAGAACAGAGAGTCAGGAGTCCCTGAGTCCTTGTCTGGGATCTGCCGCTGTAGAGCCAGGACGAGGAATCTCAGCAGCAGTCCCAGTGTCTTTAGCGGTCAAGAGAGAGATTTGCATTCTCTGGTTCTGTGGCTGATCAGTTGCATCTTATCCGGACAACTGAAGAAAGAGCAAGCTCCCCTGGGCACCGGTCATGGCGCTGGGCACGGGGTTACCGCCTCATAAATAACTCCAAGCTGCCGTGTCCAGAATGCCTCTAGTTAGAAGAATGAGGTGACTTTTCCCTTGTAAATGGAGACTTGAAAGGAAGGTGCCTGTAAAAATCCATCTCAAGTGTACCTTCGCTGTGGTGGTCACATTAAATTGCACAGGACTAAACACACGCCTATATATAAGCTTGGTGGATTGTATCAATTCTTTAAAAATAAATTTATTCCTTTATCTATTTCTTTGTTTTTGGCTGCGTCCGGTGTTCATTGCTGTGCACGGGCTTTCTCTAGTTGTGGCGAGCAGGGGCTACTCTTCCTTGTGGTGCCGGCTTCTCATTGCAGTGGCTTCTCTTGCGGAGCACAGACTCTAGGCACGCGGGCTTCAGGAGTTGTGGCACGCGGGCTCGGTAGTTGTGGCGCACGGGCTTAGTTGCTCTGCGGTATGTGGGATCTTTCCAGATGAGGGCTCAAACCCGTGTCCCCTGCACTGGCAGGCAGATTCTTAACCACTGCACCACCAGGGAAGCCCAGATTGTATCAATGTTGACATCCCGGTTGTGATAGTATGCTATCATTTTCCGGGATGATCCCATTGGTAGAAGTGGGGTACAGGATACAAAGGAGGTCCCTGTATTATTTCTTACAACTACATGTGAATCTATAATTATCTCTAAATAAAAAGTTTAATTTAAGAAATGGTTGGGGGGAACTTCCCTGGTGGTCCAGTGGTTAAGACTCTGCACTTCCAGTGCAGGGGGCACGGGTTCAATCCCTGGTCAGGAAACCAAGATCCCACATGCTGTGAGGATCGACCGAAAATAAGTAAACTAAAGAAAAAAAAAAAGTGGGGGCTTCCCTGGTGGCGCAGTGGTTGAGTCCGCCTGCCGATGCAGGGAACACGGGTTCGTGCCCTGGTCCGGGAAGATCCCACATGCTGCGGAGTGGCTGGGCCCTTGAGCCATGGCCGCTGAGCCTGCGCGTCCGGAGCCTGTGCTCCGCAACGGGAGAGGCCACAAAAGTGAGAGGCCCGCGTACCGCAAAAAAAAAAAAAAAAAAAGTGGATGGAGGGAATTCCCTCGTGGTCCAGTGGTTAGGACTCCACGCTTTCACTGCAAAGGGCCCCGGGTCAATCCCTGGTCTGGGAACTAAGACCCCGAAAGACTCGTGGCATGGCCTAGATACATTAAGTTAAAAGTGGATGGAAAAAATAAATAAAAAGATGTATATGATCAACCAAAAGTTAAAGGACCATATAAATGCACCTAGAGTTTATGCACGTCCCCTATCCCAAAACATGCTGCCCCCGGTTAAAGCTGGTATTGACAAAAATCTCAGTTTAGGGCTTCCCTGGTGGCGCAGTGGTTGAGAGTCCGCCTTCCGATTCAGGGGACACAGGTTCGTGCCCTGGTCCGGGAAGATCCCACATGCCGCGGAGCGGCTGGGCCCGTGAGCCGTGGCCACTGGGCCTGCGCGTCCGGAGCCTGTGCTCCGCAACGGGAGAGGCCACAACAGTGAGAGGCCCGCATACCGCAAAAAAAATAAATAAATAAATCTCAGTTTAAATCTCAGATCTTACCTGGGGCTGAAATATTCAGACCATTAGATTCACTAAAGCATGAAATCATTGCCTTCATAAATCACAGCTGAAGTCGTCTTTGACATTTTATGTTCACTGTATAATCATTGTCAGATCACCCATCTGCCACTTGAAAGTGTTATACTGTCATTCCTTGAACTTAGGTGTAAATTTACCTTCATTCTTACTAAACATCATTCTGCTGAGTTTGTTTTTTTTTTTAATCTTCACATTAGGCATCCCTTCCGAGTTAGCATCATTTGAATATTTATAAAGCTGTCTACGTTGACATTAATAAACATGATGAAAGGGACAGCGCCACGCCATGTGTGGCCTGCTGTGAGATAGATGCTCTCCTCTCAGCCCCTCATAAATCTTTCATCAACATTCTTGGGATTACACAGTTCAGCACATCTGCCTGTGGTCCTGTCACACATAAACTTCTGTATCATGTCTGACATATTATGACAAGACTGTCAATCTTGTGAAATTTTCACTGTCTTGTGAATGAAAGGCATAGTCCCAATTTATCAACATTGCACCCCTTTTGAAAGAATTCAGTATGACATTGAACCAGTGTGGACTTCTAGTGGTGACAGCTTTCTTTTCTAGGAACTCACAGCTCAGCCAGAATTTCTGAGAGTGGAGTATGTTTGTCAGCACGTAGCTTTTGTTCTTCTGGAAAGCCCAGGGCACATTTGTTCTGTGTAACTTCTCACTTTTTGGACTTTCATCTTCACTGCTCAGAACATGAGGCTGAGCATATACCCTCCGGACCCAAGGAGCATCTTCCAAGCATCCACACCTAGGCATTCAATAGCCTCGGGTGTGTGTGTGCCACCTTTTCAAGTCTGAGGCTTGTTTCCTTTGATAGAGAGGAAATAGGTGAAATGAAAGTGAGCTCTGCTTTCACTTGCTCAACAGTCAATGAATTAGTCAACCAAGGGCAAATTGAACCGACTTTCAGAGATTTAATCAATAGCGAATCCTGGACTTCCCTGGTGGCGCAGGGGTTAAGAATACGCCTGCCAATGCAGGGGACATGGGTTCGAGCCCTGGTCCGGGAAGATCCCACGTGCCGCGGAGCAACTGGGTCCGTGCGCCACAACTACTGAGCCTGTGCTCTAGAGCCTGCAAGCCACAACTACTGAGCACTTGTGCCACAACTACTGAGGCCCGCGTACCTAGAGCCCGTGCTCCGCAGCAAGAGGAGCCACCGCAATGAGAAGCCCACGCACTGCAACAAAGAGTAGCCCCTGCTCGCCGCAACTAGAGAAAGCCCGCGGCAGCAACGAAGACCCAACGCAGCCAAAAATAAATAAATTTATTTTTTTAAAAAATAACTAGTCCTCCCTATGAAACAGAGCTCAAATTATTTTAGTTTTTTGTTCTAACAGGAGATTTATAATTATAAAACGTAATGGAGGATGGAGTTCCAGAATTTTGCTTTTACCTTTCACGCTGTAGGGCCAAGTACCCTTCAGTTAGTAAGATCAGGCTTTCCGAAACACCTTTGAGTGGGATATTTTTTAAAAGGCAGGTTTAGCCGTTTCCTACCTGACTCACAGTGTACCTGAGTTGGGGACCCTATGATTAAGACTGGTAGAGGGTCAGTCAAGATCAGGGAGCACAGGTATGGTGGCAGTTAGAGGAAAACTTTGACACAATGACTTTGCCCTTAGTCACCAATGTTTGTCATCTTATTCTTGATTCCTGCAAGGTATTATTACAAACACTGGAATTTAGCTGCAGATCTTAGATAAAGCTGAGTCTGTACAACCCAGCAACCACTTTCTCCCTCCCACCTTACAAGGATTTTACCCTGGATCTTGTTATTAGTTGGAATATTTACAGATCTCTAGGGGGGAGAGACTTCCTCTTTCTGTGCAGGGGACAGAAGGAGAGACCACTGGGTCTCTCCATGTGCCTGGCACCATGATAGTATTTGTGGCCCCCATCTTTGGAGTTTGCATCCTAGGGCACAGCAATTATAACTGCAAACAAAGCAGCCACAGCAGCTGAGAAACAGTGACTGTCATTCACGGAGAGCCTGCTGTGTGCCAAGCATGTTATTCAGATGGACTCGGGTCCTCTCAGCAGATTTTCTCAGGGCATGCATCAGCCCATTTTACAGAAGAAGAAACTGAGACTCATCAGGGTTAAGTAACTGACTGAGGTCACTGAGCCCAGGTCCCCGTGAAGGACTCACACGCTACCACTCACGGGAACCAGCGCCAGCTCCAGTACCAGAGGGCAGTTCTCACTGAGCGACTGAGCTGACTTCCTTCTGTAAGATATTGATACTTAGGCATTTGACCACCTTTTGAGATTCCCTTGATCTTCAAATGCCAATCACCACAAACAGGCTGAAACCTTCTATGGGGAAGCTTTGCCTATAAAACTAGATTCTTGCTTAGGTCTGTGTGAGTCCCAATTCCTTTACCTTTAGGACATGTTCTTTAAACTGTTATATATGTGAAGGGCCAAGTTTCCTGCTGGCAACTAGAAGGGACTAAATAAATGGTGCTTAAAAAAATGCACACACATATATATATAACAATACCTAACTATGCAAATCAGGAGTACTTAAAAAGAGAGTACTTAGCTGAAGCTACTATTGTAAAAGTTTTTATTATGTTTTTTTTTTGGCTGTGCCATGTGGCTTGTGGGATCTCAATTCCCGAACAACGTATCGAACCCAGGCCCCGGCAGTGAACACTCCAAGTCCTATAACCACTGGACCACCAGGGAAATCCTAAACGTTTTTATATTTTAAAGTACATTTTTAGAAAGCCATTGGCTATTTTTCAGTTTTTGTTTTTGTTTTTTTAATGAAGTAGCCAAAGATATACAGACAGCTCATGGAGCTCAATATCAAAAAACAACCCAATTAAAAAATGGGCGGAAGACCTAAATAGACATTTCACCAGCGAAAACATACAGATGGCCAACAGGCACATGAAAAGGTGCTCAACATCACTAATTATTAGAGAAATGCAAATCAAAACTACAATGAGGTATCACCTCACACAGGTCAGAATGGCCATC